CCTAGCGCCACATAACGGAGTCATCTCCCATTACTTGTCCCAGCTTCTGCCAACCTAGCAGTTTGAAAGCATGTAAAAATGCAAGTAGAAAAATAGGAACTACCTTTGGTGGGAAGGTAACGGCCTTCCGTGCACCTCCGGCGTTCAGTCATGCCGGCCACATGACCACGGAGACGTCTTCGGACAGCGCTGGCTCTTCAGCTTTGAAACGGAGATGAGCACCGCCCCCTAGAGTCGGGAACAACTAGCGCATACATGCGAGGGGAACCTTTACCTTTAGTCCTCAACTTACCACAATCGAGCCCAAAATTTATGTTGCTAAATGAGAAATTTTCTTAAGTGTGTTTTGCCCCATTTTACGACTTTTCTTGCCACCTTTGTTAAGTGAATCGCTGCAGTTGTTAAATTAGTAACACAGTTGTTAAGTGAAGCTGGCTTCCCCATTGATTTTGCTTGTCAGACGATCGCAAAAGGGGATCCTATGACCCCAGGACACTGCAACCGTCATAAATGTGGGTCAGTTGTCATGTATCTGAATGTAAATGACTATGGGGATGCTGCAACATGTGTGTGAAAAAGTCCTTTTTTCAGTGCTGTTGTAACTTTGAACGTTCACTAAGCGAACTGTTGTAAGTCGAGGACTACCTGTAGAAGGTAATTCTGAGGAGTTGTTCTTCTCTGAAGTCTCCTAGGGCAGGGGTCTCCCAACTTTGGCCATTTTAAAACTTGTGAACTTCAACTCCCAGAATTCCCTAGCCAGGCTGGGTAAGGAATCCTGGGAGTTGAAGTCCACAAGTCTTAAAGGGGCCAAGGTTAGAGACCCCTGCCGTAGGGCATTTCCAACTGTGGTGATATTTGGTTTAACGACTGTATCTCATCTGTTTTATAATCTTATATTATATCATCTCACGGTGAAATGTTTCTCTCATTTGAAGGTAAAGATTCCAAAGCAGAAGGAATCAGTCCATCTCCAGTCTCATTGGTCCCAGAGGAGAAAGTTTCTTTTGGCCTCTATGCGCTCTCTGTTTCTTCACTGACAGTGGCAAGGATTAGAAAAGTTTATAACAAATTGGACAGTAAGGCCATAGCCAAGCAGGTAAGCTGAACCCTTTTTTTTAATGTATCGCTTTTTTAGTTTTCAGTATTGACTCCACAAATGTTGTAATACTCAACGTTGACCATCAGTAGACCCCACACAATATTCGATACATGAGAGTCACCAGATCAACAAGCATCTTTTATAATAGGTTGTGCTTGTATATTGGGTCCATGCTTGGATCATCCCAGGATTGACGATAACGTGCACAGCTAAAGGTTAATAAAGAACAAATACGTATTTAGTTCCTAAGTATTATTTATTAAGAGAATTTATATTGAGCCGCAGTGGCACAGTGGTTAGAGTGCAAGTACTGCAGGCTACTTCTGCTGACTGCCGGCTGTCAGCAGTTTGGCAAATCGAATCTCACCAGTCAAGGTTGACTCCACCTTCCATCCTTCCGAGGTTGGTAAAATGAGGACCCAGATTGTTGGGGGCAATGTGCTGACTCTGTAAACCGCTTAGAGAGGGTGGTAAAGCACTGTGAAGTGGTATATCTCTAAGTGCCGAGGTGGCACAGTGCTTAGAGTACAGCAGTGCAGGCTACTTCAGCTGACCACTAGCTGCAGTTCAGCAGTTCGAATCTCACCTCACTCAAGGTTGACTCCGCCTTCCATCCTTCCGAGGTGGGTAAAATGAGCATCCAGATTGTTGGGGGCAAGAGGCTGACTCTGTAAACTGCTTAGAGAGGGCTGTAAAGCACTCTGAAGCGGTATATACGTCTAAGTGCTTTTGCTATATGAATACCCAACTCACTCTTGGTTGGCTCCAGGTAGTTTAAAAAGTATGCTTTAAAAAAAAAAAACCTCTTTTATACTTTGGAGAGAGGAAGTTACATGGGTTATTCCAGCTAACTTCCATTTTGGAGTATTCCAGTGGATACTGGCTATGTAATCTCATATGATGTACAGGTAATCCTTGACTTACCCACTTTGTTTAGTGATCAATTCAAAGTTACAATGACTCTGAAAGAAGTGACTTACGACACAGACAACTGTTGCAAAATTCCCCCTGGCCACATGCTACATCCTCTTGTGGCTTTTAGAAATGAATGATTCCCTTTAGCGACAGTTTTGGTTGTGAAAGTTAGAAGCTTGGCCTAAGTCAGTGATGGCTAAACTTTTTGTCCTCGCGTGCCAAAATTGCACATAACAGCGTGCACCTGTGTGCCCACACCCATAATACTATCGTGACCCGTCAAAACCGCGGTCGACAAAAGCGCGCTCGGCGAAAGCACGTACGTGACGTCATCACAGCGCGACGAAAAAATTAAAAATTGAAATAAAAATAAAATTAAAG